GCGGCTACAGCTGATTCAAGTGTCGATCAGAACAGAGATAAGCACAGAAAATTAGCCTCATGTATGTAGCTCATGTAGCGGCAGCAGGCTGTAATCTGCACTGAGTGACTTTCTGATAGAATGGACTAGGTTCCATATGAGCCAAATGGTACTTGTTGATCGCTCCCAGATGCCAGCCGCTCTTTGGCTATTTTGCTACACTTAGCAGAGAGCTCCTCGTGGGATGCCTGTGTTAGACAGCCCCCTCTACAGCCACTTCAATCCTTTCAATTTAGTAAGCCAATCAATGAATTTAAAATATCCAATATCTCCCCGGGACTTTTCCTTCAGCTGCCCAGGAAAAACGTAGAAGGCGCAAAATCAGCTCTGCCTGAAGGCAAAAAGGCTTGGAGCTCCCTCTGCGCACACGCCAGCCAAAACCTCCTGGAAGGCTTCTTCTGGCGGGCGAGCGGGGGGGGCAGGCCAGGGGAGGGACCGTTTCGGTACCAGCCCGCCCCCCCAGAAGCCCTGGTACAGGAAGGCACACTAAATTCTTTCAACCAGTACGCGTGTATTGGACAGGATTGGCTGAAACCCACCTCTGGCATATACCCATATACAGTATATGACACAAACAACACAGTCCAGTTGAGATGTCTACATGTACATGGCAACAGCCTAAGAAGATGCTGCACTAAGCTACATGCAAGGAAAATTGATAGCACTAAAGTCAAGGAAGGGAACAAAAGTCAGATTACATTTAAGAGACAAAGACTTGCAAAAACAGTCCATGCACAGTGGTGACAGTGCCAGAATCTAGGCATGCAGGCCCTGGGAACATCATGCCTCAGAAATTGCAGTGGGAAGCTGGCTGCAATGGGAGCATCAAAGTCAATCAAATAAAACCATGAGAGATATGGTATAATTAAGAGGCAGAGTGACAAGATCAGAGTGTCGGTGCCCAGTGGTGGCACAGCCAAAATCCAGGCATGAAAGCGCTGGGAACATCAGAGCCTGATTTTCATGTGTGAGACTTGCTCTCCTGGCTCCTGGTCCGTGTCCGTGTCCGTGTCTGTATCCGTGTCTAAGTCTGTGTCCGGGTCAGTGTCTGTGTCCGTGTCCATGTTCAGGTCCGGGTCTGGTCCCAGGTCCGGGTCGGGGTCCGGTTGCAGGTCCAAGTCGGGGTTCGGGTTCGAGTCCGGTCCTCATCCAGGTCCGCATTATGGTCTGGGTCCGTGTCTGCATCATGGTCTGTGTCCGTATCCATGTCCAGGTCCGGGGCCAGGTCAGGGTCCGGTTCATGGTCCATGTCTGTATCTGGGTCTGGGTCCAGGTCCAGATCCAGGTCTGTGTCTGTGTCCGGGTCTGTGCCCAGGTCCACGTCCAGGTTGGGGTCAGGGTCCGGGTTGAGGTCCGGGTCCCTCTCCGTGTCCAGGTCCGGTTCTGGTTCCTGTTCAGGGTCTGGGTCCGGGTCTGGATTATGGTCCGTGTCTGTATCCGTGTCCATGTCCCTGTCCAGATCTGGATCCAGGTCCGATTCCAGGTCCGTGTCAGGGTCCAGGTCAGAGTCCGTGTCCACGTCTGGATCATGGTCCATGTCCGTCCTTGGTCTGTGTCCGGGTCTGTGTCCAGATTATGGTCTTTGTCCAGGTCTGGATCATGGTCCGGATCCAGGACCGTGTCGGGTTCTGTGTCTGGTTTCGGATCTGGGTCCAGGTCCATGTTCAGGTCCAGGTCCTGGTCCGGATTATTTTCCGGGTCTGGGTCTGGAACATGGTCAAGATCCACATCTGGATCATGGTCCGTGTCCATGACCGTGTCCGTGTCCAGATCCGGGTCCCAGTCCCGGTCCGGACCCAGACCCGGATTATGGTCCAGGTCTGGGTCCGGATTTGGGTCCAGGTTTGAGTACGGGTCTGGGTCGAGATTATGGTCTGGATCCGTGTCCGTGTCTCTGTCAATATCTGGGGTCATATCCAGGTCGGGGTCCGGGTATAATTCTGGGTCCAGGTCCGGTTCAGGGTCCGGGTCCAGATTATGGTCTGGGTCCAGATCTGGATCATGGTCCGGGTCTGCATCTGGAATATGGTCTGTGTCCAAGTCTGCGTCTAGGTCTGGGTCCGATCCGGATCCAGGTCCATCTCCGGGTCCAGGTCAGGGTACGGTTCCGGGTCTAGGTTCAGGTCGGGGTCTGTGTCCAGATCGTGGTCCCTGTCCTTGTCCGTGTAGTGGTCCGGGTCTGCATCCGGGTCCAGGTCCGTGTCTGGGTTTGGATTATGTTCTGGGTCTGGGTCCAGTTCTGGATCTGGATCGAGGTCTGTGTCTGAATCCAGGTCCGTGTCCAGGTTGGGGTCCGGGTCCGGGTCCGGTTCCAGGTCTGGTTTCAGGTCTGGATCATGGTCCGGATCCGGATCCGTGTCCGCGTCCTGTTCTGGGTTATGTTACGTTATGTTACGTTACGTTACATTACGTTATGTTATGTTATGTTATGTTATATTGTTATGTTATGTTATAGTGTTATAGTGTTATGTTATGTCATAACATAACATAACATAACAACGTAACATAACATAACATAACAACATAACATAACAACACATAACATAACACAATGACATAACATAACATAACAAAATAACATAACAATATAACATAATATAACAATATAATATAACAAGACATGACATGACAAAACAATATAACATAACATAACAATATAACAACATAACAATATAACATAACATAACAATATAACATAACATAACATAATATAACATAACATGACGAGACATGACATAACATATCATATCATATCATATCATAATAACAATATAACATGACATAACAATATAACATGACATGACAAGACATGACATGACATGACAATATAACATAACAACATAGCAATATGACATGACATGACATAACATAACAATATAACATAACATGACACGGCATGGCATGACACAATATAACAACATAACAATATCACATAACATGACATGACATGAAATAACATAACAATATAACATAACATAATATAACATGACAAGGCATGACATGAAATAACATAACATAACAATATAATATAACATAACATAACATATAACAATATAACAAGACATGACATAACAATATAACATAACATAACAATATGGCATGGCATGGCATGGCATGACATAACAATATAACATAATATAACAATATAATATGACATGACCTGACATGATATGACATGAGAAGATGACATGACATGACATGAAATAACATAACATAACAATATAATATAACATAACATAACATATAACAATATAACAAGACATGACATAACAATATAACATAACATGACACGGCATGGCATGACATAGCAATATAATAACATAACAATATCACATAACATCACATGAAATGACATGACAAGACATGAAATGACATGATATGACATGACATAACATAACAATATAACATAACATAACAATATAATATAACATGACATGACATGA